CACCTGAATTCTGGCTTAAAAATAGTGGAAATTAGTACATATATTGCGGCTAGTTTATTTAATGAAGGACACAGTAGCATATTGGAAATAATGAGTAAATTAAATCTAATTATTGGGAGGCAAGCCAACATATATGCTGAACAAATGGACGAACATCGAATTACTCGGCAGTAACGATGTAACGAATCTGTGTTTAAAGAAGCTCGAAAAGCACAAAAAGACCAGTTGGCGATCGAAAGTGAATTTTATGAAGAAGCTGAAGGTCTGATATACGGTCCGGGTATTGCAGACTAGCCAACAAGTTATTCGTGATTGAAAAAAATTTGTTTTTACGACTTGAAACTTTAACGCGCTTTTTCTCAAATCAATGTATTTACACCTTATAAGCACGATAACTAATAAACTACTTGACCGATTTTCATTAAATTTGTTACACATATAAATAGTAATATCACCTTCTATTTGAACCTCTAAGTATACATAAGTTATGTTAAAAAATTACTTTTTTATTAATTTATATATCAATATTTTCTTAAAAAGTTATAACATTATTTTAAAACACCTGTATTTTTTAAATGCTTAAATTTTTTAAACTTTTTTTTGGTTCACATAGAAGATATGAATGTTGGGAACAATTTAAATGCATTCGCAAGTAATTCTAACCACTGTAGCGAATGCTAGAATGTTTGAAACGGAACCGCTCACTCCGTAACGTTTCCCTATCTGATCACTATTTGCCGTTCGCCTATAAAAGTTTTAGAATATGTGAATACATATTTTTATAGCACAAAGCATCACTAAATAGTAGTGGGTATCAAAAAGGTTTTAAACTAATTTCAACTTCACGAAAAAATAACTTGAAAATGCGCTTATTTTAGCTCGTCTAAATGTATTTCCCCCCTTAATACTAGCAAAGGTTGGACTGTGGAATTTATGCGCCGAATGGTGTTATCCTTGAGGCGCAGAACTATAATTTCTCAAAAGCTCCTAATGATTTTCAAGAAAATTTCAATTTGTCTCAAACTGTGAATGCCGACGAAATGGCAGTAGTATATATGGATATGCCATCCAATTACACACTGGAAGGAAGAGGTGTGTGGGTAATTTCTTTATAAACGAGTAGTTGCGAAAAATTGCGCATAACATTGATTGAGACAAAAACCAGTCTGAAATCTGAAAGACTTCCCGAATGGCGTCTTAGTTAGGCCACAACAAAAAGGATGGATAATGGAAAAGCTGATGATGGAATGGTTAAGATAAGTATGGAGTCGTAGACCAGAAGAATTATTAAATAAGATAAACTGATATGCATAGACTGATTGCCCTTGGTTTAGACTTCTTGTCATAATAATAATACCTGGTGGAATGACATCCATACTACAACCTGTGTATGTATATGTATATTACGACATGGAAAACGACCCCTGAAAACAATATTATAACATCATTTAAGAAGTTTTGTATAATTCGAATTGATCCGTATTGATCCGAAGATGACGTAATATAGGAAGAAAATGATACATAAATATGTAAATATCGTTCTAAAACCCTTAATAAAGTGTTATTGTTATAATGTGATTTTATTTTACTATTTTCCAAATTGCAACTATACGACTGCGAATCTAATCCGCACCCGATTGTAATCCGCATTTGATTTTAGAGCATATAAAATTTATAAAAAAGATGCGGATTATATTCGAGAAAATACGGTATATGTAATAGATGACACTATTAGAAGGCTATGATATTAACAAATATAGTTATTTTTGTTACAAATTTGTGTGGTTTATTTTATTAATTTAAATCAAAGAGTGTCAATCAGTACGCTGTGAAATGTCAATTGGTAGTGAATTTATGTAAGTTCCTTAAATTCTCATCGAGAAATTGTCATTAACGAAGAAGTTTTTTTCAAGAAACGAGTGTGTTGTGAATCAATATGGATGTTGAAATAATTACAAAAATTAATACTGGTGATTATCATATAATAGCAAAACCAAATAGTGTGAGTAAAATTTGGAATTTATTTGGCCTTATTAAAAAACAAGATGACTGTATAATAGATGGAATTGTTTATTGCCGAAAGTGCAACAAAATTTTAAAATATAATGGCAAGCAAACCTCAAACCTCGTTCGTCATAGATGTTATATTGAAAGTAATAACATTGTCGAACGAGAAATAACACATGTAAATAGTGAAGACACAGAGAGTGTACTGCATGCCTGTTCTCAATGAGTGATTGAAGATCCTTCTTCATCGGTAGATGGAAAGGGCTTCAAAAAAAATTGTTGAAAAATTGATCGATATTGGGGCAAAGATGGAAGTAATATTAACATTGACGAGCTGATTCCGAATTCAACAAAAGTATCACGAGTATCAAACTTCATAGTAAACTTGTGACCTATGGACCGACAATTTTGTTAAAAGAAACTTTTTATGCGCCACTTTACATTTTCACGAAAATAGCCACCTCAAAGACTTAGTTCTAGGAACCAAAACAATGGATATGGACAGATGTACCGCGGAAAATATTTAAAAAAAAATCAAATTACTTTTATCGGATTTTGAAATTAAAGATATGAGGAATGTGATATTTGTAAGTGATTGGGGTTCCAACATTATAAAAGCGTTAAAGGACCACGAACGCATAAACTGTGCTAATCATTTGTTTGACAATGTATTGGAAGCATTCCAAAATACAGAAGAGCTACATCCAATATTTCAGGCCTGTAAAAAATTGGTCAAACATTTAAAAAAATCAAATTTACAGCATTTGTTAAACACATCATTAAAGAACTATTGCTCTACACGTTGGAATTCTTACTACAATTTATTCAAGTCAATTTTAAAAAATTGGTTCAAAATAAATGAAACACTTACTGGTAACAATGAAATGTATAGATTAACAGATATACATTTCCCAATGTAAAACATTTTGGTTCAACTTTTTGATAAATTTGACATAATTAATAGGAAACTGCAAGGAGTAAATTATGTAATCATTAATTATGTATACCTTTCAATGAATAATTTACGACAAACATGTACATAAGTGAATGAAGACACCCCACCTATACGAAAACTAAAAGAAAATATTTTGAGCCAGATTGAACGCAGCTTGTTTATAATTAGTTAAGTTTACGTTACATAGTCAACATTAAATGATTTTGGACAAATTTTGTGATTTTAAATGATTTTACTCATTTTGAATATTTTTGATAATTTTTAAACAGTTTTTTACCACTTTTTCAGCAAAATTTTAAATTTTAATACGTTATACGGAACTTCTCAAATGTCTTATTCGCGAATGGTTCTAAACCATTCGCTGCTTGTGATTGAGCACGGCACGGCACTACATGTTTCACACTTCTGTTGACGAATGAATAAACCGTAGTAACAGCGAATTGATTAATATGATTCGACATGAAAGCCATTCGGTGCAGGTTTCCGAGTCGACAATACAGTAACTTAAGAAAGAACACCACACAACATGATTCACAGTAACATTGACGAATGAAGGCAACACTCAAGCAACGAATCAGTGAATATGATTCAGTATGTGAGCCATTCGCTGCAGGTCTCTGATATGCACACCGCTCGTTATTTACCTGGTTGCTAAACACACAATAAATATTAATTAAAATTCGAATAAACCAAGGACAGTAGAATCTAACAGGACTGCTACATCCATTGTATTTTTGTAGTCCACTACGGGTTGGTTGCCCGCACTCTACGTCACACTATTTGCCACGCCTGGTAACTGTCTATGTTTTTAGAGGTTATATGATATAGACATTAATACGTCTAAAAACATAAAACTTCAAAAATATAATGAATACGTCTAGGATATAACCTCTAATAATACACAGCAAACATAGACCATAACAACAGCTGGGCGTGGAAAATGGTAGGACGTAGATTGCGGGCAGGTTGTCACAACAATGGATGTAGCAGTCCTGTTAGATTCTACTGTCCTTGGAATAAACAATTTTTTCAATTTCACATTTTTATTTATTGACCATTATTGTAATGGACATTTTAGGTTGAATCTATGTCAATCTAGTAAATATTATAAACATAATTTGGTAGATTTAGAAAAACCCCTAAAAAATTTAATTTATTTCTTAATTATTAAAGATTAATTTTCAATCTGAATATGACTTTAAAAATTAAAAACTAAACATTGTATTATTTTTCATATCTATAATGTTTTTTTAACAGGTTTAGGAGCAACACTAACTTTAACAGGTTTACACAAATCAATTAACGATGGTGACGAATCCATAGACGATGATTTTCGTTTACCCAAATCTCCTTCCGACACTGATAAAGCCATACTGATTTCCACATTACATGCTTCTGACCAAACTTGATGTGATAGCAACACCGTTGTTAATAACCTAAGATTATGTCCAACATTTGAATCTCTCGAAATACCAACGTCATCTTCCAATTGTTTTAAATGAGCCGGTCTCGGTAGTAAAATTTGCGTTCTTTGATCAGGATATTTTACTTTTAATCGAAGCCTACTCGGTTCAAATAAATGTTTTAGCTCTGCTTCGAAAGGTACCGACATTATTAAACCGGCGGTGAATTTTAATGTGCTGTCTGTTTGACCCGATGGTTCTAATATTGAAGCTGAAGTCATTTTTATCTGAAAGAAATGAAAATGAAATGGATATTTGACAAAAATCGGGTAATTAAAACTAGAACTACCTACCGTCTTTGATTTATACATTAAGGCCCATTACTACCAAACCTATGCTATCTGTCAGTTAAGCTATCTATAAGATACAATTTATCTCGTAGATAACAGGGTCGTGCGTACTACCACCTCCATTTATCTCATAGTTAAGAAATCCTTGGCGTAACCAAAGAATCTAGGGATTTTTTGATATATTATGTTAAATTGACTGCTCTATGTGGTTAAAAGATCTACTATTAGGTATTTTGACGATATTCTAACCTGTTCTAACCTTAAAATTAAAAGTTGGAAATGGAGACTGAGAAAAGGCGACGAACCACCAATTTCACCAAAGAAGAATGCGAACATCTTCTTGACTTTGTTATCAAACATAAAAACGTAATAGAAAACAAAAAAAGTGATGCAGTTACATGGCAAGGAAAGCAACAAGTATGTATATCTCGTATTATTGTATGTTAAAATGTGATGGTAAACAATAATGGCACAACTAACATGATAAACGACGAAGATGCCAATTGTACACTCATTCCTGCAAAATCTGCTATGGATAGCAACATGTTACCTATTGCATAAAACCGAAGAGTCAGCAACAAACAGTTTGAAGGAGGTACAGTCGTGTTCACTGGAAATGCGCACTCAAGGTCAAGCGCTGTTGTGAGATCCGACATGCCGCTGGCTAAACGGGATGAGTCGAGCGCACACGAAGCTCATGGAGAAGGGACTTGTGGCGGTTCAGGTTAGCCAGCGGCATGTCGGATCCCACAACAGCGCTTGACCTTGAGTGCGCATTTCCCGTGAACACGACTGTACATACAGCATTATTACTAAAATTTTGATGAATTTTACATTAAATAATAGGAATCAACAAATTACGTACGTCATGGATGGAGGGTTTATTACATCTTCTATTTGATTCAAAAGGTGATGGAAACTTTTTTACGAGAGACGAAATCTCGTCATAAATTCAACATCTGAATTAATATTTAAATTGATTAAATTATCCATCAGCAAGCTTTGTTTAAGTCAATTAAATAAAACAAAAATTTTCCTCTTCCTTGCTATTTATTTTATTATGCTTCTAAATCGATTTCGAGGAAACAATCCTCATCTTCAGTAGAATTGTCAGTTTAGTTGAAAAAATATATTAATCATCAAAATTTAACACATCCTCCAAATTTAACTTCGTCTTTTTTATCCAAACTTGAAAATTTCTTACTTTAATAATTGAACAAATATAATAGAATATCAAATTTAAAACGAAAAGTTAAAATACACTTAAAACAAAATCTAAAATAATATAAAACAAAACACGCGTTTACACTTGACAAAAGATACGAAAAATGACTGATAGTCACTGATAGTCACTGAAATTTGATAGTCACAAAAATTTATTCTTCATCTCCAATGTCGAAGAAATTATCCATGATGATTTTATCTAATGTTAATTATTAATAGTTTTTTATTTAAGTTTATATTACTTTTCTTATTTTAACTAAAATAGTAAAACGCTCGAATTTTATACGTCAGTATAAATCCTGTTTGAGGTTAGGTATCCTCAGTTATCCCTTAGATAGCAACTTATCCGACACCCAATCCACGGGTTTCAGATATTTCAAAAGTTATCCCTTGGATAGCGGTATCTATAAGATAAATACAGTGGTAGTAACCAATTTTTAAGCTATCCGATAGATAAGGCTATCAGAGACTTTAACTATGAGTGGTAGTAGTGGGCCTAAATAGACATTATCTATGAACATGAAATAGAGCAACTTGGGGAATAACCCGAGTTGGATTCTATCTATGAGCGCTAACATTTATATTTAAATATACTGATTTATTTATTTATTTATTACTTACATTAATATTTGGTTGTGGAATAGGTCCTAATTTAGTATCCGTCAAAATAGGTATTAAAATTCTAGCGACAGTTCCCGGTCTGGGTTCTTCTAAAATCCACAATTCTTTAAAAACGGCAGACGTAAATTCATCCGGTTCCAAATTGGCATTTTCTATTTCGGTTTGCATATCTTCAACGGTCGACAAAAAATGATGGCATGGTGCTAATGCTGAAGCATTGCTTCCTTTAACTATGTGTACCAAATTTATAGCCAATGCTCTTAACCTAAATTGTTTAATAACGCAAAGTTCTTTTGCGCTAAATCCAACGAATAAATGTTGAAGTTTTAAACAATGTTCTAACAAACTTTGAATGTTTGCTTTTAAATTATTGGATTGTTGTGTTGCTAAAGATGTAGGATTCATCCAAGCGCCTTTTTTGAAAATTTGCAACATTAATATTTGTGCCCCGATGTAAAGAGCCGTAAATTGTGCAGTTCCGGAAACTTGTTGATCCATTTCACTCAGTCGCAAAAGATGTTCCTTGGCTTTTAATAGTAAATTGGTATGCATTTTGTGGGTTGTAACACCTAAACCGTTAACAACGGTCTTTAAAAAATTTACACTTTCCATTACGTTGGTGGGTTTTACTTCAATATTGTTCTCGTTTGTTATAAATGTTAATACGGGCACCAAATTTGGCATTGTATCGCGTAAATATGTGTAATGTTTTCTGGTATGAGGCTCTAAAAGTGGGAGAATCGTTGGAAAATTTTTTGCTGCATTTAAAACTAGAATTAATATACATATATCTAGGGTTAAAAGTTAAGGAGAAGTTATAATTATAATCAACGCATACAAATTTAAAGAGAAATGTTTGTTTCTTAATTTCTTTAAAAAAATCATATTTTTTATATAAATAAATAAATATAAATACACATATTGTAATATTTATTATCTCATCTATATGTAGATATATAATAACGAGAATTAAAATCAATAAATAAAACTTAAGATTACAGCTAGTTAAAACTCATGCGTCAATTTTAAGCATGATTATCTTTCTAGAATCACGTCAATGTTGTATAATGTATAATTAATATGTATGCAGACAGAATTTACCACTTATTATGGAAATTTCGCATAGCAATATGGGAAAAACTTCTTGGCTATATGCTAACATACTCCTAAACTTATGACTCATCTCAATCTCAGAAGAAGTACCATCAAACTTTCATTTGGTTGTTTATTTTGAAACAGGTAACGTTTTAGGATAGATAGTATCGGTAATAGTGAGTGACATAAATGAAGAAACAATGATGAATGACGAAGAGTACGACAGCAAAGATAAAGAAAACTTACAATCCTGCTACGATTCAGAAGAATACAACGACGGAAAGAAAGACGAATTTATAGAAAATGAATTCCATGTAGGTCCATAATGATTGAAAAGGATGAGATAGAATATGACGTAAACAAAGACCTTAGTAAACAAGACAAGCAAAGATTAAAAGAATTAACCAAGAGATCAATTTTGACGATCCAAAAGCAAATTTTGAAATCCATACCGATGCCTGCAAGATGGGAAAAGCTAGAATACTATTACAAAATCGAAATTGATGTTGTGATCCATTTTAACCAGTATTCGAAATGTCGTGTAAAGGAATGTAAATAATTTTTGTACTTTTACTGGTTTAATATGTACAGGTTGTTCAGAAATTAGTTCATTCTACGACCGACTCTGAATAGAAAATCTTAGTGTCAAAATGTTGTTCTACTATGTTGCCAAATGTGTTTTTCATGAAGATATGATAATAAAAAAATGTTAAAAACGAAATTTAAAGCTAAAGAATATAATTTTAACAAAAAAAACTAGTTTTGAAATTTTTTTTTTTTAAATTACAGCTTATTTATCAACAGATATTGAATATTAACGATTATTTATGGACAAATTCAGGAAAGGTGACGTTAATGCACCTATTGTTCAAAAAACTCAGCTTGGTTGGATATTGTCTGGTCCTGTTACAATACTCCATTTCATTCTCCAGTTCATGGCTTTCCGTGCACACTTGATGTTGAATTAAAGGAGTTGATTCAACGATTTTGGCTACAAGAACAACCCGAAGCATCAACTCTGGCTCTCAGTAAGGAAGAATCAGATTGTGAAGAATATTTTCAGAATACTTATCAACGAAATTCAGAAGGACGATTTATCGTGCGATTTCCATTTAAAAATACTCTTATTGGTTTGGGTGATTCGTACACTCCAGCATCTAAAGTTCTTTTTGCAATGGAGAATCGTTTTAAACGAAATTTTAGTTTAAAAAGTGAATATTTATCTTTTATGAAAGAGTATCATGATTTCGGTCACATGATAAAACTACCACACGATCAATCATTTTGTACTGCGCACTTCTTTTTACCTCATCATGGGGTGATCAAAGAAACAAGCACAACAACAAAACTACGAGTGGTTTTCAATGGATACCAAAAAACATCATTGGGAGAATCTCTTAACGACAATTTACATATAGGCCCAAAGCTCCAGAACGATCTTTCAGATATTTTGATGCGTTAAAGACGGTATCAATTTGTATTCACCGCGGACATAGAGAAAATGTACCGTCAAATCATTGTCCATCCAAATGATCGTAAATTTCAACAAATTTTGTGGAGAGATTGTGAAAATCAACCATTATCAGTATACCAGTTAGCTACAGTAACATATGGCTTAGCTTGTGCCCCTTACTTGGCGATCAGGTGTCTCAAGGAATTGTCAATTGTTTGCATCTATGACTCACCTCTAGCAAGCAATATAATTTCTAATGATATGTACGTTGATGATATTATATCAGGAGCTGATGACTTAAAAACAATAAAAGCTCAAATTCTTCAGATTGACAATGTTCTGAAATCAGCTGATTTTGTAGCAAGAAAATGGATGTCCAACAATAATTTAGTGTTAAACCAATTGTCAAAAGATCAACTTGATAAAGATGCTGCTCTGGTGCTCGCGTTGGGATAAATCCAACGATTATTTCCTGTTTAATTCAGAATTTTTTCACTCTTATAATGGAGTTATTACAAAACGCACTGTACTGTCTCAAATATCAAAAATTTGTGATCCACTTGGCTGGATTTCTCCTATTGTGATTGTCGCAAAGATATTCGTTCAAGAATTGTGAACATGTCAGCTTGATTGGGATTGTGCGCTATGACCATAAAAAATCATGTGTAAGGCTTGTCACATCAAAAACAAAAGTAGCTCCTCTTAAACGCGTTACTATTCCGAGACTAGAATTGTGCGCGGCGGTATTGTTGACACGAGTAATTAAACGTATAGTTAAAGTTTTAGACATTTCTCATGTTCCTGTCCATTTGTGGAGTGATTCCTCAATTGTTCTGGCCTGGATTCAGAGTCATCCATCCAGATGGAAGGAGTATGTTCGCAATAGAGTTACGGAGATCCAAGACTTTTCGTTGGCGCAGTGGCATCACATTTCTGGAAAAGAAAACCCAGCTGACCTTGCGTCACGTGGCATCAATCCATCTAAGCTGGTGAATGAGAGGTTATGGTGGTTCGATCCTGACTGGTTGTCCGATACCAATTCGTCGTGGTCTTCTGAAGTTCCAACATCATTGTCTAATATTCCTGAAGAAGATCATTTATTTTGTGCTCTAGTCTAAAAAATTTATGGAATAATTTTGGATTCAGTGGACGAAATATTATCTTCAATACATTCAAAATAGAACAAAATGGTTTGAATCAAAACATCCCCTTAAAGTTGGTTCCTTGGTCCTAATCAAAGATATAAGAACACCTCCATCTAAATGGCCTCTGGCCCGAGTTGTGCAATTTCATCAGGCGGGAACTGATGGTATCTCTAGAGTGGTTACAGTGAAGACTTCTACTACCAGATATACAAGACCAATCGCAAAATTGTGTTTATTTCCTATTAATTGAAGTTTAAGAATGTAATTTTGTTCAATAGTTTTAGTTTACCAATTTATTTCAAAATCTCATGCGATTCAATATTGTTTAATATTTTTCATTCTATCTTTATTATTGCTTTGTTTTGTTATTGCTCATATTAATTCGCAAGGGCGGCGGTTATGTTAAAAGTTTGAATTTTTCTTTTGATGGTGCGCAAACGCAAACCATTTTTCGAGTCAGACTCACCAATAGAGAGAACAGTTCGGGTGGTTTGCGACGTTTGCTCATTATCTTTTCGCTTAAAGTTGTTAATTAAATTTATTGTGCAGTGTATATCTCTTAGACGTTGGATTTATTGTAAGAATTGGATATTTTATTTTGTTTTTCGTTTAATTTAATTTTTTTAAACGGTTCAAGTGAATAAACTTTGTTGTATAATTTTAAACCCAGAGTTATTTAATTGAAGTAATAAACTTATTCAAAACGATTATTTAACAAAGACTTTCTTTTCAATCTTTATGAAACAGTATTTAATGATAATGAGGAATTTTTAAGAGGGAAACTCGTTTCGAAAAATTCATGAATGAAATGATCAGTAAACTCACGTTACTATAGTAACTAAGTGGCATTTAACGTTTTCCTCGCCTACTATAATTAAAATATTGAATATTTTATTAACCTTTAATATTTTAGAATTAAAAAATATATCATTGGAAAGCTAAAAATATGCTCTTTTCAATAACACCATAATCTACTAGTTTGATTAAAATTTTTCAACGGCAGTATATTCTACTTAAAAAAGTGTCTTAAGAACGTATCAACCCCATTTCTCTGATTTCAAAAATAAACGAAATATGAGCCTTTTTTTGAAATCACGAAAATTTGACTTTTTGGCCTATAACTAAAAAACAAAAGAAGATAGAGTTTGGTGTTTGCGGGATTGGGTTAGTCTCAAAAAAAGAGACCGGGACATGGCAACTACTTTTTTCGTATCTCTTATAGTTTCTGAGATAGCCTATAATAACACCCAAATTCGCCCACCCTGTACAGGAATTCGATGTCCGAATAGGCTAACTCGAAAACTATAAGAGTTAGAAAAAAAGTAGCTTACATGTCACGATCTCGTTTTTCGAAAAACTGCTAATGCCGAAAACTCCGAACAGCTATCGTCTTTTGTTTTCGCCCTATCAGCAAAAACTGAAAATTTTGCGAAAACGACAATCGCGAATATCTCACTTATTATCAAAGATGGAATATTATAAATAAAACATTATATGGGCAACTTTTTACGAAGAATTCAGTGGCGTAGGTAGAATTTTTTTTCCATTTTTTATTTTCGAGATTTTAGACCTAACTTTATTTTTTTAAATGGAAACCATAGTTGGCTATGACCTAAAATAATTTGTTATTTTCTTCTGATAACAAACTTACAGTGTGCCCCCGGATAGGTGAAACGACTCTTATAAAAGGTAAATTTTTTTCGATATTAATTGTCATCTTTTGGGGTTTAGCCCTGCTTGATTAACGACTAATTTTGAACATATTATCAACTTTTAAAAAACAAGTGAGCCTTGACAGTGAAAGAAAAACTCTTCTTGTGGCAGGTAAAGTACTTTTCCTGTTTACAGTACGTGAAAGTGGTACTAAGAAGTTTTGTTTAGAATGAAAAACTATGGCCATACGTAAATTTTCGGATTGATCGGCCTACTTTGAAAAAATCTATATCATTCAATTTCAATTCTAACAGACTGCCATGGAAAAACAAAATTGCTTTCCTGTCACTGTTAATCTGTCAAATTGTAATTTAGTAAACTTAAAGTGTTTTTTAAATACAATGTTAACATAAGAGGAAAAAGTTTACGTGATTCAGTGTTATGGAATCGGGGAAAAACCGATAAATATGGTTATCATTAATTTATTGGTTATTTTAATTCCAGTATTTATTAATACTGGAATTAAAAGAAGTACCTGTTGGCGTTTAATCAAAAGATTTCTTACAGGAGGAAGTATTCACTCTAAGAAAAAAAAATTATAATGACACTTAATTTTTTGTGAACATTTTCAGAAGAAGAATTTTCAGAGGTTTGTTTATTTCTCCCAAATAATCTGAATCTCAAAACAAAAAATCGTAATAAAGTACTATTGACGAAAATAATAAACAACGGGTTTTATCAAAGTAGGCCGATGATTCCGAAAATTTGCCTATGGCCATAACTTTTCATTCTGAATAATTTTTTATTTGTATTCTATATTTATCTGGATTAATTTCTTCCCATTCTAACTCATTTATTAAAACGTCGCAATAATAAATGACATAAACACCACAATTCGAAGTTTGAAGAAAAACGATTTTCCCGAAATATAGGAAATGGTTAGGAAAATTTTCTTTTTGAATCTGTAGTAAAAGGGCACCAGGAATACGATGCCGTTGAAATTAGATCGATTAGACACCCTGAACAGGCCGAAATTTGCGATTGTTTGAAGAAAAACGATTTTCCCGGAAAATAAGAAATGGTTAGGAAAATTTTCTTTTTGAATCTGAAGCAAAAGGACACCATGAATATGATGCCGTTGAAATTAGATCAATTAGAAACCCCGAACCGAATCGGCCGAAAATTGCGAATGTTTGAAGAAAATCGACTTTCTCGGAATATAAGGAATGGTTAGAAAATGTTCTTTTCGAATCTGCAGTAAGAAGCGACCAGGAATGTAATGCCATTGAAATGGGATCGATTAGAAACCCCGAACAGCCCGACATTTGCTTATGTTTGAAGAAAATCAATTTTTCCGGAATATAGGAAATGGTTAGAAAAATTTTCTTTTCGAATCTGAAGTAAGAAGCCACCAGGAATACGATGCCGTTGAAATTAGATCGATTAAAAACCCCGAACGAGCCGAATTTTGCGAAAGTTTGAAGAAAATCGATTTTCCCGGAAAATAAGAAATGGTTAGGAAAATTTTCTTTTCGAATCTGAAACAAGAGGCGACCATGAATACGATGCCGTTGAAATTAGATCAATTGAATACCCCGATCACGCTTTTTTTTCAGTTTAAAATCTATGGCTAAAATCTAAATTTGACTTTTTGGCTATAACTTAAAAACAAAAGAAGATAGAGGTTTGGTGTTTGCGGGATTGGGTTAGTTTCGAAAAAAGAGACCGGGACATGGCACCTACATTTTTCGTATCTCCTATAGTTTCTGAGATAGCCTATAATAACACCCAAATTTGCCCACCCTGTACATAGACATAATCTTGAAAATTGTAAAACTGACCTCAAAATATAATCTATAATAAACCTATCAAAATCTTAAGGTTCAATTTTTTAACGTGATTACTACACATTATGAAAATTAAATAATTACCTAATCAAAAAAGGATACATTGTGGATTTTCAACATCCGGCTCAGCCATATCAAAAAACGGATGAATATTCAGAAATTGCGGTACCAATGGCAATATCAATTCAGGATGTTGCTCTCCCATTTTTTGCATACAACGAAACGTTGATCTTTTGTCCTGGGGGTACTTTTTCAAATTATCCAGCAATTTTTCAACGCACATTTTCAAACCGGGAGTCGTCGACATTTGACAAGCGGACAACATCCTATGTAAACCCTCGCGTACCTCCTGAGAAAAATCTTCAAGAGCCGCTAAAATCGTTTCTATTTGATCGTCCCTCAAGACTATATGCGCCGAAATTTGACGCAAACTATCGATTGCTTTCAATCGAACGTCTTCAATTTCATCATTGAACATATCCACCAAAAAATCCAAAGATAAATTTGCAAAATGCGGATTATTTAGTGATAATTGACACAGAGATTCCACAGCGGCCGAACGAACTTCAAGAAATTCATCTTCTAAACCATGAACGAAAGCTCCGCACGCACCGCTACTCATTAAGTTTATACTATCGGCGTCAATAAGTTCTCGAGGAGCATCATCAGCCCATTTTTTACCACTCGCCCATTCCCCACTAGTAACATTTTCCCAAGCTAATTCATGAGCAGTTCTTTTTCGTCTCATATTTGACATTAATTTTTTATCTAAAGTTTGATTTAAAAATTTTGGTGAAACCAAACTCATGGAACCTAACAATTTTGCAGCTTGAGTTCTAACAAACATTGATAAATCAGTTACCCCGGTGCAAATTTTACCAAAAGCGTCATCGATAAGTCGTAATTCCTGTTCACTATCGGGTAATAAAATTATATTTTCCGGATATGCATTCCCAATAACCCAAATTAATTTTAAAACGGCTTGACGAACAATTTCATAGTCATCATTTAAAGCATCACAAACGATGGTATAAATAGCAGGGTCTAATTTAAATCCTTTGTCATGCAAATTAATGGTAGTTTTAAAAGCTTGACTTCGAACGCGAGCATCTTCATTTGTAAAATAAGATGTTACAAGATTTAAAATATTTTTTCGATCTATATTGTGACCACATGATGGGGCTAAAACCCCAATAACCTCTAAACATTTACATTTAACACTATGATTGGTGTCTTTGAGATAATTTTTAGCAGTTTCAACTAATTTTTGGTGTAACTGAACATTATCTGGTATCAATTTAGCTAGTTTTAATATCGTGTTAATTCCTTGAGCTAAAACTTTATGTGACATTTCATTTTTTAATAACCCCATACATTCTTCTATGATAATTACAACGTCACATTCAAATTGCTGACCAATATCACCTAAAAGTGATAAGATTTTTACCCTAACGGCAGATTCAGCTTCTGTTTTAAAGTGGTCCGTGAGCATTTTTAAAGCATCGGTTAGATCGGATTTATCTAATTCTGTTGTGTCTATACGCAACAAAATTTGCATTATTTCATTACTGCTATTACAACTTTCCAAACAACTTATAAAATCTATCGCATAACTACGCACAGGCGGTTTTTTTATTAATCGAAGCTTTTTTGGTGGTGGTTGTGGTGGATCCTAAAAATCATTTTTTTAGAGTGTTTTATAGTATTTGTTATAGATTTTTACCTGTATTAGTTGCCCGTATTCGAGAAATGCGCGTTTTTTCAATAACGCTGCCATTTTTCACAAAATTTTTTAGAACGACGTTTGTAAACACGAAGATAACCTCAAAATTAAGTTATCATTCAGATTTGACAGGTTATGAATTAATTGAAAAAAAAATTTAAATACAAAAAGAAAGTTAATTATAATAATCTGTTTAAAACATCACAACACATGTTAATATAAACTTATTAATAAAAATATTACTTTATAATAAATATTTTAGTTTTCTGCTAACTTTACAGATTCCTGTAATTATCTTGCTAAACCCGATTTTTTCTAGTTCTAGGTCTAGTGTTGGTTATAGCCTTGTTTATAGATATACATTTATGTATATCTATAAACAAGGGTTATAGTTTTAGTACATTCTTTGATTATATTGAATATATCTATATATTTATAATATGATATTTATATATCTATAATATGATATATTTTAGATATTGAGATATTAGATTCGTTCCAATCGCACAAATTTGACTCGTCGTGTACGCGTACACGACTAGTACAGGACTTTTTTCTGCGCATGTTCGTGCGTGGTCACGTTCGTGTACGCGTACATTTCGTCAACGCTGTTGGAACGGTTTTCAATTTCTATGTACAGGTGTCCCACGATGAACTGCGTCGATCGATATAGGAGAAACTATGAGTAGTATCTTTCTGAAAATTTGTAGGCGCACTTAAGTCGATATGCCCAACTCACCTAAAATATTTTCAAGACTGTCGCACTTCCGGTTATACCGGAAGTAGAC